TATGGGTACTAAATAATCCCTTGCAATCCTCGCAGTACCTCGTTATAAGCACAGCAGAACTCGAGTTCTAATAGAAAATCGAAACCCCAATTGAACCCTAAACCTCTAAACCCCTACACCCCTACTAAACCCCGAAAATCCTGAACCTCTACACCCCTAAACCCCGAAACCCCTAAACCTCTACACCCCTAAACCCCGAGAATCCTAAACCCCTAAACCTTAAGCCCCAAAAAGTCCCAGAAGCTCCTGGGGCTCAGGGCAGAGGGAGCTTCCTTGGAGGCGAGCCAGAAACTCTGCGGCGCGCAAAGAGGGATTGGGATCTGGGTTTAGTTAGGGTTTAGGGTTTAGGGTTTAGGGTTTAGGGACCCCTAATTCCTAGACCCTACATCCTAAACCCCAAGCACTAAATCTGACTTTCCGAAAATAGGGGAACTTAAGATAGTACCTTCAATGCCTTAAATAGTAAAATCCTTATGATAAGGACCCCAAACTATGGCACCCCTAATTATCGGAAACTCCCAAGGTTCAATGCAGCAAACCTGGGTGTGGGGTTCAGAGCATGGCCTTAGATCGAGGATTTTTAAGGTGTTGGCTTCGCTCCAAAGAAGCGTCTCAATAGAATGTTCCGGGGTTTCAGCAGGCTTTTGGTGCGTCTTAGTGAAGCTCTGATGACTTATAACAAGGGCTCTCATATGGTAGAAACAGCGTCTTTCCCGCAAGGCGCGGAGTCCGGCGTACTAGAGCTCTGCCCTCCGGGCAGAGGAAGAGCAATGGGCCCTTCGACACGTGGTCGAGGCCCAGGTGAGGGCATTCTGAAAAATGTTTAGGATCTAGGACTGAGGGATAGGGGGTGTAGGCCTAGGGGATCTACAAGGGGATCTATAGGGTTTTGGGGTTTTGGGTCTACGGTTGATGATATAAATCCTGCATTACCTGAAGGACCTTAAACTATGGGAATTATGGTATATTCCTTAATATGGGTAAGGCAGGATTTATATCATCAACCGTAGGATTGAGGGTTCAGAGTTTAGGGCCTAAGGGTGGCTTTATCAGGAGCATCTTTGATCAGAATGTGGCTTTAAAGGTTCTCATCAGCTTGTTGAGGAGTGTGTTGGGGTTCGATAAAGTTAAAATAGGCCTGGATGGAGGGTCACAATGTCCTATAGTTTGGGTACTGGCCTGGTCTAAAATGAGGGGTCATGTAAAGGGCTATACATGACTTTATTATACATAGTCTCTAAGCCCTAAACCACATTATCTTACAGAGTGGAGGCAATACCGACTCTAGGGGCTAGCATTGACAGAGACCTCTACATTAAATCGATGGCCGGCGCTTAGCGCCCGAACCCCCCCCCCCAAAGCCCTAATCTACACCGTAAACCCTAAACCCTAAGCTTCGGGTTCAGAGGTTTAACAAGAAGCCTGGCTTTGGGGATAAGGATTTTTGTGATTGTTGGTGAAGTCTTGGGCCTTGGGTTTGAAGTTCGAAGTTTCTGGTTGAGGCTGTCATACGATATTATAAACCCTGCCTTACCCATAATAAGGAATATACAATAACTTCCATAGTTTAGGGTCCTTAAGGTAATGCAGGATTTCTATCATCAACCTCAGTGGATAATATCGGGGCCCTGATAATCAAAATTCAAGTCTTTGGCAGCATGTTACAACATACTTATATTGAGCAACCCCGAGGCATAGTAGTGGTAATGATTCAAGCCCCCATAATAGAGGGTTTACGGGTTTGGGTATAGGGAATAGGGTTTAGGGTTTGGGTTTTAATTATACAGCGTGTTGAAAATGATGTCGTCCGGCTGCAGTCCCCAAGGGCCGCGCGAAGGGACAGTAAATTCAGAACACCCTGCGGTGGTAGTCTTTGGGCGCATTGGGCCCGTGCAGACAAATCCTCATCAAGCGTTGAAGATAGCATAGGATCTGCATCGCTTTGACTCCTGGGAGAAATCTCCTGACGCCAGTTTTCAACATGTGAGGGTTCTCTAAATCGGGGGGATAAGATGTAACTCTGAGAAACTACGGATCCCCAAAACGGAGCCTGATGTACAGAACTCTCCATGTGAAGCCACGGCAGCCGGCACTCCCAGGAAACTCGCCAAGCCTGCTGAGTGTAGCAGAAGCGAAATTCAAACCTGTACGTTGTGTACTCAGGGAACGAATCATGCCTGTCGGATGGTGTCGACCGCTTCTACCATCAAAAGCAGTAGACCCTATAACTACACCCGTAACCCAGGAAGCCTCGCGTTTCAGAACCTACGCCCTGTCCTTGACAAGGACAAATCCCCAACCACAATCCTTAGAATTCGAATCCTAGAACAGCTTGGAAGTCGATGGTTTTGCCTGGGGGTCTGCTGGTTTAGCTCTGCACTCGAATGATCGATTCCGGGAATGAGTCTGAAAGACCCACCCATGTAGCTCCTTTTTGGGGTTCATCTATAGAATTCTATAAGATAATCCCAAAAACCCTAAACCCTAAACCCCTATGTTCCCAAAAAGGAACTACTATGGGGACTACTGGAATACGCAGGGCACCCCTCGAGGTCGTGACAACGCTAGACCTCCCTAAGACTTCCGAATAGAAGGGGTGTCTTATATTAGGGTCCCCTATTTTGGTTTAGGGTTTAGGGTTTAGGGTTTCGGAAACTCCCACATAGTGTGTCCCAACCTGAACCCCCGCATTGCACTTCCAAGCAATGTACCCCACAAGACATGAATACAAAATCTCTGAACTCTACACTACAAGACCCCGCGTCTTGAAATGAATCGCCAGGACGTGTAGATCCTAGAGGCAGATATGGCCGGCACCATTCACTCGCATTGAATTCGTGGGCGCCATCGTGCATGGGACTTTGGCTCCCAGAAACCATCGGAAGCCCGGTCATTACTTAGAGGATCATGGGACTTAGTAAGTAGGTTATTCATGGGGTTATAAGTCCCCTAAGTGGGGTTATCCTAATCATAACCTACTTATAACCTTACTTACTAAGTCCCATGAGCCTTCAAGTACCCTTCAAGGTGCAGAGTGCAGAGGAGGAGCCCACCAACCCGAAACCCTAAACCCCAAGGGCCCTGGAGAACACAAGTAGAACTTCTACAGTCCCCACATAATGCTCATAGAGATCTCTCCCTAAACCCTGAAACTCTTAACCCTAAAGTCCCTATACTAAACCCCTATGGTAGCCCTTCTAGCCCCGCTTGAAAGGAACCCTTTAAAAAAAGAAAGAAAAAGGAACCCTTTTTAAAAAAGAAAGAAAGGAACCCTTTTTTAAAAGAAAGAAAAAAGGAACCCAAGGGTCTCGAAGAGTCTATAAGCCTAGATCGGACCTCGGGTCGAGTGCCTGCAGCTTGAAACTTTAGGGACCCCTATAAATCCCTTATTGGGAACCCTTTAAGGAACCTTTTAAAATGAACCCTTTAAGGAACCCTGAACGACCCGTTTCTGTCTCGACATGATCAGGGAAGCGGTGTTATGCTGGAGAGTTTAGGCTTGAGACGCTCCGGTTTACGCCTTCAGGTTTGGTAAGGAGTGTAGGCTTTGAAGGCTACCGTAATTTACCAAAACCTATTTTGTTGTAGGGCCCCTATAAACTCCATGTTAAGGTTTGTAATAAGAACCTACATAAAAGTAGGGTTTGGTAGGTTAAGGTAGAAGCATAACATACCAGTCGTCCAAATAGAACCCTTTAAAAGAAGACCTTAAGTTAAAGGAACCCTTGCAGGAACGGAACCATTATTGTAGGGAACGCTTATATGGAACCGTTATAAGGAACCCTTAAAAGACTACATCAAAGATTTCAGGCTATAGAGCGCGAGGTTAGAGTTTCGGGTTTAGGGGTCAGGGCTTACGGTTCAGGGCTTCGGGTTTAGGTGTTGCGGATCGATTTCGCGACATGGCTCCGATGATGGCAAACTTCAAAAAATGAAAGCGCGTCAACGAATTTGCACCACTGGCGTCTGAAGGACGAACACAACCGACTGTGCCGGAGCACGCAATATGCCGTACAACAGCTGACCTCACTGCAGTATGATTCACTCACGCTGCTGTGTTGAACAAGGCTCTCATACTGCACAGTGCTAGACTTTGCGACAGGAAACCCTAAACCCTATACCCTGAACTCTGAACCCCTAAACCCTAAACCCTCCATTCCTAGTCCCATGACACACAACAGCAAGGCTTATAAGCTCTCAACCCGGGACTCATCCTTTAAGGGTCCCCTTTAGGGTTCCTTTTTGAGTCCCCTCTAGGGCCCCTTTAAGACTTTAAGAATCCCCTTTAGGGTTCCTTTAAGGGTCCCCTTTAGGGTTCCTTTAAGGTTCCCCTTTAGGGCTTATTTAAGAGTCCCCTCTAGGGTTCCTTCAAGAGTAAACCCGGAACCCTGAAAAGCCAACCCACAAGCCATACGTAAACGCTAGCGCTCAAAATCCTGAACTCTTATGCCCTGAGCCCTGGGCTATTCTACCGTGCCAGACATGACCGTGCGGATACATAGCCCTCATCAGAGTACCCACCATCCTAGTATGTATGTATGTCCATATGGATACATGTGCATATAATACACACACAGACATGTGCGTGTGCATCTTGGGATCTCTGCGTATCTCTACACAGTCCTTTCGGCCCATACACTACCGAAACGATGCCTTCAGTCAGTGAGCAATACTCGGGGCTGCTGTGTAAGCCCTCTATGATCAAACACAATGTGAGGCCGAGCCAGCTTGGGATTTAGGGGCTTAGGCTTCAGGGCTAGGGTTTAGGATATAGGCGGGGCTTCGGGTTCCATAGTGGGGAAACCTTTACACTGTCTTTGATTGCCTTGTACAGGGGCTGTGAGCTCTAAGCCCGTATCGGCAAGGTGGGGAATCTCGGGCCACTTCAGATTGGGATTCAGGGTCTAATTAGGATTTCAGTGTGCTGTGGGTAGGCTTTGCGAACTTCCGATTACGGCCCGGCCTCCAAAATCGATGGGCACTTCGGAAAGACAGTCAGCTCAGACAGACTTTGAGCGGCGACGATGAACATGCGGCCGCGTGTTGAACTGGATAAAGGTCCTGGCTTGGCACTCCGGCTCTAGGGGCTTAGGCTTTAAGGTTTAATGTGTACGCTTTAAGTTGTGGTTTAAGGTTGAGGGTGTAGGGAAAAGGCTGTAGGGTTTAGGGTTTACAGGTTTTGGGTGCCTCCTATAGTCCTATAGTGACTCGAAACATTCACAACTAATCCGGAATCCTTCAACCCGTAAGTCTGTGCTGGTAGCAAAAACATCGAACGCCAGCAGTCGTCAACGATAGTCATGGGTTTTCACTGACGCCCAGAACCCTGGACCCTGGCTCTCATAAGAAGAAGCATTGCTTCGGACTCACCCGCTGTACATGATACTAAACGATTCCCCAGAACCCTGTTCGAACTATGAAGGCCCCCCGATTAGGTTCCCCAGTGTCCCCTTAATGATAAGGGTATCCGTTCCGGTTTAGGGTATAGGGTTTAGCATTTTGATCACGGAGCCCTAGAATGAACGGGGCAAAAGGGTCCTACCGAGGAATTTGGCCGAGCCCAGCGTCCTCTCAACTGGCAGCTGCGCGGAACCCTGGCGGAGAACGTGGAATGCACAGCAGAGGACCACAACAAGGTAGCGGCCTGAATGATTAGAATGGGGCTTTGAGCTCCGTTTTACTATACTTATAATTCGGAACCCCGAAAATACTCATAGTAAGGAATTCCCAAAGGGACCAGATCCTCGAAGAATCCAAGGACTCTGTGCTTCGGCTGTTGATATAAATCCTGCAGTACCCATCATAAGGAATATACCATAATTCCCAGAGTCTACTTGGAGGGTCGGGGGACTTAGTAAGTAGGTAGTAAGTAGACTTATAAGTACCCTAAATGGGACCCTAATTGGGGTTATGGTACTTATAAGTCCTTAAAAAAAAGTTACTAAGTCCCCCGACCCACCAAGTAGGGTCATTAAAGTAATGCAGGATTTATATCATCAACCCTAAACCCTAAACCCTAAACCCCTATAGATCCCGTAAAGGAACCCCTTAAAGGTATCCTTATAGATTAGGGTCATTAAAGTAATGTATCACCTCGAAGAGGTCAATGCGTCACGCTTAGCCTGAAATCTCACGTCAAAGGCCGGAGATGTACTTCGAAAACCCGAAGGCCATTCACCCTAAGGCACAAGGTCTCAGGTTTGTATAGGGCAGGGTGTACTTGAAGGCTCATGGGACTTAGTAACTCGGGTCATGAGTAAGGTAACTATACTAATAATCAAACATAACCCCAATTCAAGTAATTACTCATAACCTTACTTGCTAAGTCCCATGATCCTCCAAGTAGGGTTTACGGTGTTGCAGGTTGACGCATTGCACCTGGGCTTTCTGTAACATGGACAGAAAACAGAGATCACAAACTGAGCTGTGCGAACAAGCCTTCATAAGCGCATAAGGGTTTATAGGGCCCCCTAACCACTAAAACAGGTTTTGCAGTGCATGGCAATTAATGCTCCCTCAATTTGGATTTTGGCTTCCAACGACCAGAGATTCTGACCGCGGAAAGTGGGCTTGGTCGTGGGATTTGGGAACGCCCTGATTCTGCTCTCCTTGCCGGATAAATGCTCGGTTTAAGGTTCAGAGTCTCCGGTGAGCCCACGTTCGTCGTGCTGTGCACTCGGAACGACCTCTTCCGGTTTCGGGTTTAGGGTTTAGAGGTTCGGGTAACCTAATCAGCTACGACCCAAGTATCACCTAGGTAACTTACATGCACAGCTGCAATACGTCCAGAAGCCCGCGGGGGGGGAGGGGGGGTGAAGAGGTTTAAGTAGTGTTGTTGATGATGACGATCTTCATGATGACGATGGTGGCGATGATGTTGATGATGATGACCATCATCATGATGGCAATTATGACCATGGTGATGGCGGTGATCCTGCTCATCATGATGATGATGATCATGTTCATGATGGTCATTATGGTCATGATGACCTATACGACGACGACGACGAGGATGAGGATGATGATGATGATGATGTTGATGATGATGATGATGATGATGATGATGGCTGGTACCCGTTGCTACTGGTACTTGCTCAATACAGGTGTTTTGCGACGCTTGTTAAAACTCCGCATACGTTGTTTACATGTTCCTGTGTTTCTATGCCCTACTACAATGGTGACCCTCACTTCTTATTCCGACATAGTTCTTCAAATTATTGCCTGAATCCCCGGCACGAGCCTCGGTAAGCGCTCTGGCCCACTCCGACTCCAGATCACTGACGCTCTCAAGGTCCATCTGCGCAGCTTGGAAACCAGACGTGAACCCGAATGGCAAACCCATTCGGGACTGTTTCTGTAAGCAGTAGCTCAAAGTCGCAACCCCAAACCCTGAAATCGCAAGGAATCAGGGAAGACACTTAAATGATTGTTAGAAGCCGTACATGTTTAAGCCATATTTCTTAGCTCAAGGGCATCGGGCTCTCTGGGTGCTACTTGTTACGAAGAAGGACCCTAGACAGGACCCGGTCGAGAATAGAACAACTACTTTTGGGGAGGGTTAAGGTGTAAAGCGGCAGGCCCAACAGATCTTTCAGGGAAGCGCCGCAGACTTCGTCTTTGGAGTCTGCCGTATGGGATTCGTAAGGGGGTAGGCTCAACAAGAAATGCGGGCATGGATGATTTCCCACATGAAAGTGTCCTGGCTCTGCATGTGCGGCAATTTTCGGGTGCACCCCAAACAAACACCAATTCAGACGGCTGGTTGCACCACCACATGAGCTGTACTTGGAGGGGCAGGGGACTTAGTAAGTAGTTCATAATACAAGTACCCTAAATGGAGTTACCCCAATTATAACCCTACTTATAACCTAATAACCTACTTACTAAGTCCCATGCCCCTCAAAGTACGGTTCTATGAACCGGTGCCTCGTCATCTGCTGTCGTTTCTGACATCGCGGACGTGTCCCACACTGGAGCTTTCTCCTGGAGGACTGGTTGGTGGGATGTTCGGAATCCGGATCGTCTTTCGGGTACCCACTTGTTCTCAGGAAATTTTCTACGAGGACTCCTAGTTGCTACCAGGCCTAAAGCAGCATCACCAAAAAAAGACATTAAAAGCGACGATGACTATAACGTAGGAGCCTAAACAGTTACCGGTAAACTCTTTTTGGGGGGTCCTTATTATGGCTATAGTCTAATATTCCCCACTACCCTATTCGAAGTATTAAGGCCCCTATACCAACTGTAACCGCGGCCAGCGTCACGACGACAACGAAAGGCGACCACAGCCGTGACGACTGTGATGATCACCATCACTGAGGAAAAGGGGATTTAGAGTTTATAACCTGGGCTGAGTCATATGAAAATCCTAGGTTCCTTCAAGGGGATCCAAAAGGGTAGCTTTACGGGGCTCCTTTAAGGGATGTATAGGGCTTTAGGCTGGTTTAGGCTGATGATCCAAATGCTGCAATACCTTCATGACCCGAACCCTAGACTATGGGAAATGTGGTATATTCCTTCTTACGGGTATTGCAGGGTATATATCATCAACCGTACAACTGCTTTGTCTTGCTTGTGATTCTACCTCCTCCCGGCATTAGCTCCTCCTCGCAGAGGCCATGAATCACACATTCTGTAGAGCACCCACCTACCGATTGGACTCTGCGACTTTTTTGGCAAGGATACTAAAGGCCGGAGGCTCCAAGCCATAAACCCCACACCCAGAACTCTAAACCAGAAACAGTAATCCCCACGGCCTGAACGTCCCGTGCTTGGGGAATTCGAAAGTAGGGATACCTTATACAAGACCTTGCCTTAGGGATCCTACCGTTTCAAGACGATGTGGGCTCCCTTCTTCTCTGAAACTCCAATATCTGGACACCCCCTTTACGGTTTAGGCTTCAGGGTGCAGGGTTAAGGGTTTGGGATTTGGCGTTTACATGTAAAAAATTACGGTTCAGGGTTTGGGGGTTAGGGTAGTCTTGCCTCCGGGTAGTTTCTAGCCCCATAAACCGAAGCTTTTGATGACCCTTCGCAAACCCTTACGAAACCTGAACTAATTCATCTTGTGCGATCTCCCCCTACCCCTAAACCCTAAACCCCGAACCCCGACACCCCCAAACCCCGATAAACCCCCAAACCCCAAACCCTAAACCCCTAAACCCTAAACACCCTAAACCCTACACTCCCAAACCTCTGAAACCCTAAACCCCCGAAATACCCCTTTGAAGCAAGTCTCGGGGACGATGTGCACGGTAGCCGCCACAGGCTCCTGGCGGCTGCTTACTTGAAGGCTCATGGGACTTAGTAAGTAAGGATATAATTAAGATAACCCCAATTAGGATAACCCCCCTTAGGGGACTTATGACCCCCTAAGTAAGGACTGTAACCGGTCTGGGGGACCCTGAGCCCTAAACACTGAAACCTGAAGGACTTGGTGGGGCTTAGGGTTTAGGGGTTTAGGGGTTTAGGGTTTGGGGGTTTAGCGGTTTGGGGGTTTAGGGGTTTTGGGGGTTTAGCGGTTTGGGGGTTTAGAGGTTTAGGGGTTTAGGGTTTAGGGCTTAGGGCTTAGGGCCTAAACCCTGAAGCCTGGACCCTAAACCTTGAAAGCTGAGCCCGAAACTCCAGAGGCACTGTCCAGGGGTTCGGAGTTCCGTTACTTGAAGGACGTGGGGACAGGACGGTGGGGGAGGGGAGGATCATCAACCGTTTCGCTGGGACCACCACGGCACAAGCCACCTGTTCGACTCTTCCTACAGCACGTGCCCACAAGAGCTGGGAAGAAACAACAACAGCGAGCAACGGATCTGCCAGTGCTGGGTACTTCTCACGATGGCCCTGGACGTCGCGAAAAAACGCAGAAGCGCAAAAATCAGCTAACAGCTCAAACCCTAACCCCCCAAACCCCTAACTAAACCCTGAACCCCACAGCTCAAACCCTAAACCCACTAAGCTTAGGGTTCGGTGCAAAGGTAAATACCGGAATTGCTCTTCGTCTTCGGGGTTGCCCGGTCCTGCTCCCTTGGCTGCTGGTTCACGACTTGCATGCAGGGCATCATCGTTGGCGACGGCCTCTTTCCGGGACGTGGTGTAGTATACGGGCGTGATAATTAGAATAGGGTTTCGGGGGACATTATACTTTCATCGTCACAAGGAAACCCCAAAACAGTATAGGTAACTAGGTCACACGCGCGTGAGGCCACCAACTCTTTAGGCCGCTGTATGAACTCGCTTCCTTGCTGATAATATTACTTGTGACATATGGGGGTTTCCGAAAATAGGGGACGCTAATAAAGCACCCTAAATAATTAGTAGGATCCTTTTTATAAGGGCCCCGAAATAAAGTACCCCCTATTTTCGGAAACTCCAAACCCTTATGGAGCTCTTTAAAGGAAGCCTTATAGTACCTTAAAGTAACCCTTTAAAGGAACCCTAAGGTACCAGTATTTTGGGAAACCCCCATATCTATGTAAAGAACTCTCGCATTGCAGTCCCCCTAAACCCTAAACATTAAACCATATATCCTAAACCCTATACCCCAAACCGTCAGCACCGTGGCCCTAAGGCTCTCGAACCCACAGATGGTGCTACTCGACCCCAGACCTTCTAAAATCCCTTAATCAGGGAATATACCTTAAATTATGGTAGGATCCCTGATATGGCTTAAGGTATATTCCTTAATTAAGGGATTTTGGACTGTCTGGGACGCTTGGAGGAGTGCGAACCCTACAAAACTGAACTGTTTTCTGAAACTTCCCTTGCATTCAATAGGGTGTAGGGTTTAGGGTTTAGGGGTTTAGGGTTTAGGGTTTAGGGTGTAGGGTTTAGTTCCTAGGGGACTTTAACATTTATTCTTCATAACTACCTGAACCTCAAAGGGCCCCAAGCCCCAAACAAGCCCCAACACCTCATCGCCGGTGCCATGACGGGCCTGGTTGCGGTTGTTGGATTTACGCTCCATGGTTCAGGGTTCGGGTCAATTCAGGCTTTTGGTCGAAAATAGGGGCCTTAAGTAAGCATTAGAGCAGGCTTTTGGAGTATATTATACTATGGTTATAAGAAGGAACTCCCAAAATAGTATAGGTAATTATTTGGGGCCCTATAGCACTGCTGTCCGGATGCTGAAAATTTTCGAAGCCCTAACACCCAACCCTAAAGCCTGAGTTCTCAGCAATTAGAAAACGTATATTCTCAACCGTAAATCCTAGATCCTCAGCCCTACATCCTGACTCCAAAATCCCACAAGTGGCTGGCGTAAGCCTTCAACATCCAACACCCCCCGAAACCCGGAACAAACACTACAGCATTGGGGTTTAGGGTTGGGGCGGGGAGGGAGGGGGTATTTAGCATTCCTGGAACTGAGGATCCTTCTATTTCGTGTCTTCTTCAGGTCCCTTATTCTCTGACTCCCGTTGTCCGCATGTCTGCAAAAAGCAAATATTTCCCCTAAACGACTAGGCAGGATTCGCAAAACCAACCATAATATTATGAATATCGACAAGAACAGAATCGACACCGAGCATAAACATACTAACTTTATTGTTCATTCGGGGGGGAGTACTGACCAACGAACAAAACATTGCGACTACAAAAGTTACCGGTTTAATGGTGACGGCCAACACCAGGATGAAGATGAGGATGACGGGATGAGGTGGCCGAGGACTACGATGCAGTGGTGAGGAAAATGGTGATGACGACTAAACTGGTTATGAGGATGACGATGACTATGATGATGGTGGTGGTGGTAAAAATGGTGATGATTTTGGTGATCGATGGTGATGATGATGGAGATGATCACCAGAATGGTAACGATGATGATGATGATGACAGTGACGGTGACGATGAGGATCATGATGACGATGATGACTGAGATGATGGCGATGGCGACGATGATGATGATGACGGCGGATCACTCTAACAAGAACACTACAAAGCCCAACTAACGAAGCAAGGTAATGCTAGGCTTTCAGGCCAACGTTCTGTGCAGCTGAGTCGCATGAAGAAGGGACAGGGAACAGCAATGAGCTGTGTTGGACAGCCGACTGGCAAAACGTTCCTCCGAGAAGGCTCAGGGTGTTCGCGACTGGTAGTTTGCCTCTAGGATCTTTGCCCCCTAAACTGGGTTTAGGATTTATGGTTTAGGGTTTAGGATTTAGGGCTTAGGGTTATTTAGACCTTAAACCCCTAAACCGTCGTTATCGTACTTGGAGATGTACGCGCACTTGCACTTGTACCTGTGCTTGCACCTGTGCTGCTGCCAGCAGCAGCAGTAGCATTAGCAGTAGTAGTAGCACTCGCAGTCGCAGTCGCAGTCGCAGTCGCAGTCGCAGTCGCAGTCGCAGTCGCAGTAGCAGTAGCAGTAGCAGTAGCAGTAGCAGTAGCAGTAGCAGTAGCAGTAGCAGTAGCAGTGGCAGTGGCAGTAGCAGAAGCAGTAGCAGTAGCAGTAGCAGTAGCAGTAGCAGTAGTTGTTGTTGCGGCAGTTGTGGTAGCACTAGTTGTAACAGCAGTGGTAGCAGAAATTGAGGGTCGGAGTAGTAGTAATACTGACTTATGATCGTGGTTTCTGGGTTTCAGGTTTGAGGTCTAATGATACAGTGGGAGTGGGGTCAAGGGGGCAGGGAGAGGTGAGTTCTGGTCTGCTACTCCGTGCTTGAAATAGGGGCCTGAACAAAGTAGGTAGGGTTGCGCGGTAGATCCTAGTATACTTGTAGAAATAGAAAGGATCCCCGAGGAACAGCACTACTCTCTTGATGGTATAAATCCTGCATTACCTTAAGGACCCTCAACTATGGGAGTTCTGGTATATTCCTTATTATGGGTAATGCATTATATCATCAACCGTAGTTATTCAGTTTCTCTTGCCGATTCTGCTGCCCAGCGTCGTTGCGATGATACTCACCAAAAGAATGCAGATGCGATTGTAGGTATGATCGCCGCAAGCGCTTGCTAGGGCACACTTATGATTCGTGATATCGCTGCTAATTTCCATGAACATGCGGCAGTTGTTATAACATAGCCGAGTCCAGTACCTGTGCCTAGTGTGACTCTTGAGGTTGTCGTTCTGACTTCCAGTACCTTTGTTCGTGTCTCCCTGGCTGATGTTCGACAAACATTGTCGTTGTCGCCCCAGCAACAGCACTGCAGCTATGACCCCTAGTAAGCTAATATCGTTACGACGAGTACTGCTACTGGTATTACTGGTGCCTGTACAGGTTGGGATGAGCCGTGCTTTTAGAAGTATGGAAAGCCTAAACTCGACCTAAACTCTAACCCCTCAGATACACCCTAACCCCTAAGCCCGAACTCCTAACCCCTAAACTCACCGCTAAGAGCTGAAAACCTGAGCAACTCACCCAGCACGGAAACCGAAGGACCTAAAAATAGTCTGGTAGGCACTTCTCAGTGTCGAAATCTCAAGCCGGCAGAACCCCAAGAAGCGGCAAAAACCCTTCAAAGACAACGAACCAAACTCAGCTTTTGAGCTCTATTGGGGTTTAGGGTGTCGCGTTTAGGGTTTAGGGTTTGGGGTTTAGGGTGTAGGGTTTAGGGCTTGGGGTTCAGGGTTTAGGGTGAAACCCCGACTCTTCCGCTGCTTCGGCCAAAGGCACTGTGGTGGGTGGAACGACTCGGCTGGTGGGGTTGCCGGGGCGTGCTGCTCCTCGGATATGGGGGGGGCAACAGGTAGCTCCAGGGTTTAGGGTTTAAGGTTTAGGGTTTTTTTAAACCCTGACCGTTTAAGTTGTCAGTGAGAGCACAAAAAGGAATGCAGAAAGACAGCATACACGAGCCCTCACCATCAAGCAATAGGGTTCGGGGTTGAGGTCTCGCAGCAGCATCGTCGGCATCATCAGTGCTATCAGCTTCGCCAACCTCACCCTAAGCCCTAAACCAACTGCTACCACAAGAACCCCAGACGGTCCACACATACTAGCATTATGGAATTGTCCCCCAAAACCATATTAGGGATGGTCTTTCGGGACCTCATTCCATAATGGTACTATATATGGACCCTCTGGGAACAGAACCATCAGAGCGGAGCAGGCTGCTGATTCCGCCACTACGGTTGATGATATAGATCCTGGATTACCTTAAGGACCCTAAACTATGGGAGTTATGGTATAATTCCTTATTATGGGTTATGCAGGATTTATATCATCAACCGTATCACCACCACTTTTCTACGATTGCTTCTGCTGCGACTGGTTCCAGCGGAATCTGCTCCTACGTAAACCCGAAAATCCACATAAAATTAGACCAGAAGACGCAAAACTAGTCCGGCCCTAGATCCCAGGCTCGACCCGCACAACCCAAAAAACCCTAAAACCTGAACCCTAAACCCCTAAACCCTAAACCGTGAGCCCCTCCAGAAGCCCACCACGAACCATATACGACCCAACCTTATCCTCGACACTCTGCTGCTGCGAAGGCACCAAATCCTTGAAGCGATCCATTGCACGATCGAACTCCTTTCGGGCTGGATATTCGCGTCTTAAGACCTAGACTAAGGCATCTTGCTATGAGGGTTACTGTGAGGGCTGCGCAGTTACGGCTTTGTATATATTCTATATCTATATATACTAGGGTAAACACATATACGTCTCTCTGTCTGTCTGTATGCATACATACATACCTACGTACCTACGTGCCTACGTACATACACACACAAGCATAGATACACACAAACATACATAAACACATGCATCCATCCAGCCCTCCATCCGTCCGTCCCTCCATCCCTTCGTCCGTCCCTCCGTCCATCCATCCATCCCTCCGTCCATCCATCCATCCATGCATTCAGGAGCCGAAACATGTGGGCAAGGATTTGCAGATCAGGGCAGTACGTGGGCATAAATCTACATACCACACAAGAATACACCCCTTTCTTGACACGGTGTCCTAGATCCTAATGTATTTCTCATTCCTCAGAGCCTTAGTGAAAGGAACCCTTCAGGGAACCCTTACAAGACCCACAAAACTGAAAAGCAACATAGGGATAAGTAGTAGAAGGGAACCATACTACAAGCCCCTAAACCGAAAATACCCTTAACCCTCAACCAAAGGAGACCCGAAACCCTAAACCATATAAGACACCCTAAATCCTGAATCCAAAATGCATATTCCGACCCCACATTCGGTTGATGGTGTGAATCCTGCGCTACCCATAATAAGGAATATACCATACTTCCCATAGTCAAGGGTCATTCAGGTCATGCAGGATTTATATCATCAACCTAAACCCTAAAACCCTATAGATCCCTTAAAGGAGCCCCGTAAAGGTACCCTTCTAGATCCCCTCAAAGGACCCCAGGATTTGTATCACGGACGTTAGACCTATCCCCCACCCCCAGACCTCGGCTGAGAGGAGGCTACCCAGCTTCTTGTGCAGGCGCTGGCGAACACGGCGCTTCACCTTGGGCTTGCTTGGGGCTGTTTAAAAAAGGGCGGTTTAGGGTTTATGGCGGGGCTTCTGTTTAGGATTTAAGGTCTGGGGGGGTTTAGGGTTTAGGGATCAGGGTTTCAATCTAACTTGAAGGGTTTGGTGTTCAGGTGCTCTTGGTGGCTTGCAAAAGGAGTCACACGGCCGAGGAATCCCAACATCCCAAAGGCGAGGAGTGTGGCTTTGGGTTTAAGGTTTGGGGTTCAGCGCCAAGACCTGGAGCACAACCAACAAAAGGCACACCCGAAACCTGGACCTGTGACCAAACCACATATGGGTGGTTGTCAAAATTATCGTCCCGATTTGGGTAACCAAAATATTAGGCGCCGTATTATAATAAGGACCCAAAAAAGGACCCTAATTTTGAAAACCACCCACATATCTCCAACCCCGAGTCAAAACCTGAATTCGCAAAACAACAAACCAACGAAAACCCAAAATAAACCCTGCATCTAAATTCCGAAGCCCAAACATTACATGAACCCTGTCCGAAACCTAAGCCCTCAAATCCCTCGAAAGCACTTTCGGGAGCCTCAACGAAGTATTAAACACCGCGCCCAGAAAGCCCACGAAGCCTACATGCGCTAAACGCCCCGAACCCCCCTCCCTAAATTCTAAGCCCTAAAGCCTAAACCCTAAACCTGAACCCTAAACCACGAGCCCCTAAACCTATAAAGCCCAAAGCCCTCTAAAGCCCCGAAAACCACCAAAAAAAAAAAAATCTGAACCAACAAAAAACGGAGCCCCCCCCCCAAAAAAAAAATTAAAATAAAATAAAAATCGGAGCCCCCCCAAAAAAAATCGGAGCCCCTGGTTCCCGGCCGAAGCTCCGCGCGGTTCGGGGCCTCCCCGCTTGCTTGCGCTGCCGTGAGAAGGATCTCCTGTCTTCGTCTCTTTAAGGGTTCCTTTAGGGTTTAGGGTTTAGGGTTTAAGGGTTCCTTCAAGGGTTCCTTCAAGGGTTCCTTCAAGGGTTCCTTTAAGGGATCTATAGGGTTTAGGGTTCAGGGTTTAGGGTAAGGGATCTATAGGAAGGTTCTAAAACAATGGATCTCCTGTCTTCGTCTCTTTAAAAAGGGGTTTCCAAAGCTTAGGGGTACCTTATTTGGGGGTCCTTGTCATAAGGATCCTACTATGTGGGGTGCTATATTAGGGTCCCCTATTTTCGGAAACTCCTTTAAACAATGGATCTCCTGTCTTCGTCCCTTTAAAAAGGGGGTGCCTTCATAGGGGTACCTTAGGGTTTAGGGTTTAGGGTTTAATAAGCCTTTAAGGGATCTATAGGATATAGGTTCCTTTAGGGTCCTTTAACGATTCCTTTAAAGGGTTATTTGGGGTTATAAAAAGGGCTCTATAAGGGATCTATAGCAGGGTTCTAAGGCCTTCATAGGAGTACCTTAGGGCTCCTTTAAGGGGTTACTAAAAGGGGGCCTTACTGATGGTTTTTGGTTTAGGGTTTTGGGGTTTGGGGTTTAGGTTTTAGGGTTTAGGTAAAAAGGGGTACCTTCGGGTTCCTTTAAAGGGTTATTTGGGGTTATGTAAAGGGCTCTGTAAGGGTTCTATAAGGGTTCTAGAAGGGCCTCCTAAGGCCGTTTAGGGTTTCAGGGTCTAGGGTTTCAGAGGGTTTAGGGGGGTTAGGTGCTTTAGGTTCATTAGGAGGGGGTGGGGTTTGGTGTTCCTTTAGGGGCTCCTTCAAGGGATCCATAGGGGTTAAGGGTTTTTGTTCGCTCTAGGGTTTGAAGTTTAGGATTATGGTTTGTATTTGGCGATGAGGGTTTAGGGTTTAGGGATTCCGCTTTGCTTGTTGTGCTTTAGGGTTTGAGGTTTAGGGTTTAAGGCCGTTTAGGTTTTGTGTGTGTGTGTGTGTCTGTGTCTTCATTTGGGGTTTGGGACTTCTGAGAATGCAGGGTTTGTAGGATTTGTGTGTTCAAACTTCGTCAAGGCTTAGCGCTTGACATATCTTGCCTGTTAAGAACCCAGAGGCTCAATATATAGCGCCATCATGGAATTAGGCCCCCAAAGACCGTTCTTGTTATGGTTTTTGGGACCTAAGTCCACAAATGTACTATATATGGAGCCTCTAAATAGTAGGATACTTATTATAAGGACCCCAAAATAAGCTACCCCCCATTTTCGGAAACTCCAAACCCTTATAGAGCCCTTTAAAGGAAGCCTTATAGTATCTTATAGTAACCCTTTAAAGGAACCCTAAGGTACCCCTATTTTCCGTTTACGGTCACAAACACTCGAATTAGTCTCATTCGGAAACAGCTCAAGAGCAGCTCTTTGAGCTTCATGGTATTTCGAACTGAGGAGCCCTCAACCGAAAAACTTTCTTCCTGAATCCCTGGAACTTTACAGCCTAAAACTTGCAGCAACGGCCGAATTTATGCATCATGCGTCCTCGACGCTCTCTTCCGACAGCTGCGTCATCTTCCTTGGGAGTTTCTTGAATGGTTGAGGGTTTGAGGTTTGCGGTGCTTTGGTAGCATCCTGTTGTGGGGGCTGTCCTGAATTCGGGCTACCTTCGAGGGAAGGCCCACACCGGATCCAAACTATGTATATAGGGGTATGTACGTAGGTAGATACGCGTGTATGTATGTGTGCAGGCATGCATGCATGCATGTATGTATGTGTGTGCGTGTATGTATGTGTGTATGTATGTGTGTATGTATGTGTATGTATGTGTATGTATGTGTATGTATGTGTATGTATGTGTATGCATGCGTATGTGTGTGTATGTATTTGTATGTATGGGTGTGTATGTAAGCGTATGTATGTGTAAGTATGTGTGTGTATGTGTATGTATGCGTATGTACGTGCCTGTATGTGTATGCATGTACATATGTATGTATGTATGTATGTATGTAAAAAGTTATATATGTATGCACAGACTACTTTGATAGCAGTGATACAGTCATACACATATGTGTATGTGTACATCCGTATATTATAGGTATATCATAAACATGAGAGCTACAGTTACAGTACCCTAAACCCTAAACCCTAAACCTCTAAACCCTTATATTATAGATATATCATGAATATGAGAGCTACAGTCCACCAGAATTCGATGCTTTGACAACTTCCTTCTGCCAACAAAGCCACTCAGCTGGCGCCTGAGCGGTGAGCACCGTGGCGCCGGTGGTGAGCAAGGCGGTGTTGGTCTGCAAACACATTGCGATGAAGCGGTGTCCTGGAGATTCGATATGGGAGTTTCCGAAAATAGGGGACCCAAATATAGTAATTACCCTAAATCATAGGGTCCTTATTATAAGGACCCCCAAAATATTCTACCCCTAACTCTCGGAAACTCCCATATCGGTGGCCTCCGTAGCTAGAATCTGGCTTTTGGTGCAGTTTACATTACAGTAAGACAAAGTTAGGAGCTTCAAAGCTAGTATTACAAGGGTTTAAGGTTAGGGTTTAGGGTTTAGGATTTAGGGTAGTTCTAGGGTTTAGGATTTAGGGTAGTTTTAGAGTTTAGGGTTTAGGGCTTTAGGGCTTTAGGGTTTTAGGGTTTAGGGTTTAGGGCTTTAGGGTTTTAGGGTTTAGGGTTTAGGGGTACAGTAGAAGCCCAAAAGTTGGAAACCCAATAGCCTCAATCCTTAAGAGTAATGTGTAGGGAATCCCAGCTCTATTTGGCCTTAATCCGGTTTCCAACTTTGTGGGGCTTACTGTAGTATGGGGCATTATGCAGACTTCTACAGACATACGGTTGATGATATAAATCCTGCATGACCCATAATATGGAATACACAATAATTCCCATATATTCCTTATTATGGATAACGCAGGATTTATATCATCAACCGTATGGAGGGACCCTTAACAAGGACCCCTAGGTATATACCCTTCATATAGCAAATATATACCCATTATATAGCCCATTATAGGGTAGGGGTCCCCATTAAGGGTCCCTCCTTTTCCCCTTTGAATGGGGAATTATGCAGACTTCTACAGGCATACGGTTGATGATATACATACTGCATTGCCTTAAGGACCCTAAACTATGGGAATTATGGTATAATTCTGATTATGGGTATTGAAAGATTTATATCATCAACCGTAAGGGCGTTTAGACTTTACCTTCAAGGGACCTTCGACTCAGGGTCGACGGCTTAGGATTCGAGAGGAGGGTTCAGGGTTTCGGCGGGTTCTTTGAGCAGAGGCTTAGGAGGGTTTAGGGTTGGGGGAGCTTTGGGGTTTGGGGTTTAAGGCTTCTGGGGGTTTAGGGGTTTAGGGTTTAGGTTTAGGGTTTAGGGGCTTATACAGGGGTTTAGGGGTTTAGAGTTTAGGGCTTCGGGGGGTTTTGGGGTTTGGGGCTTAGGAACGGGATGTTGTAGTAGAAGGACAAGTGCACATGCATCCAAGCATGGAGGATGGTTTTTGGCCGTTGGGTATAAGTACTCATGGAAGAGCTGGCTGAGATACGTCCTTTTGGGGCCCGTAACCTCTGTACATTGTCACTGTCTGGTCCCTCACGGCATTAAACACGTGGAACCTGTTTCGGTCTCAGACCGAGAAATCAGTACAGCACGACTCGCTGAAAATGGGCCCGGTGCACTCAGCGACCTCCTCTGCGTCGTTTGGGACTGTGCTTCGGATTGTCGTAGTCGTCATCCTCATCGGCCGAGGTGTCGTCGTCCGCCACCGTGGACACGGCTGCCGCTTTCGCCGTAGCTTCGGCCACTCTCGTGGATCGCCTTTGGGTTTTCGCCATCTTCTTATGAGGATCCGAAAACCTGGCCAACCTGGCCCCTAAACCCTAATTTTCAGAACGCCTCTCCAAGCTTTAGGTTAAGATTTGAGGCCCCAATCTAGGAGTCTTAGATCATGCGTCATCAGGGAGTCTCGTAGGAACCTTCGAACAGAACCCAAACATAAAGGATCCTGACTATGTTTGTGTATACGTATAAATGTAGATATAGAGAGATATATGTCTAATATGTGTATGTGCGTTTCAAGCCCAAGAAACCAAATTGTGTAAACACATCATAAACACCTGCTTTAAAGCTGAAACAGACACGATAAGACCCCAGAAAGACTAACCCCAAGCCTCAAAACCCCTGAACCCTGAACCCTGAACCCCGACACTCCCTAAACCACTACTTGGAGGATCATGGGACTTAGTAAGTAAGGTTATAAGTACCGTAAGTGGGGTTACAAGTGTAGTTACCCTAAAACATAACCCTAGTTACTAAGTCCCATGATCCTTTAAGTAAGCCCCAAACCCCAATTTGGATTCGGCCGAAGTCCTGGAGAAAACTCCTGGGAAGGTCACGAGTGAGGCGAGCCAGAGTGTGCTGCAGGCAGGCATGGATATTACCAAGCAAGCGTTGGTTCCTTTATGGGGCTCCTTTCATGGAGCGGTTTTAAGGTTTTAGGGACAGGCTTAAGACTCAAGATTTACATTGAGGGCTAGGATCTAGGGACCTGAACCCTAAGCCCAACACCTACGTATCCGAACCCCGACAGCACCCTGCCCTCTAGAGGCCTGGCAGGTTCGGGACTTCGGGCCTTTGGGGGCGGCTTGGAGGGAGCACTTAGTAAGTAATTAGGTAACAAGTAGACCCACAAGTGCCCTAACTGAGAGCTACTTACTAAGTCCTCCGACCTAAGAGAGACCTTTGGGTAAGATCGTGGCGGCTTTCTGACAATGCATGTCGGGGCAGGAGATTGGAGGCGAACGAACCTGTCCGCTGAACGAATGACTTCTGCGACCAGCGACTCAACAGCTGGCCAACAGTGGAATCTTGGAGCCACCACAAAAGGGAAGAAAGCTGAGGTTAACAAAGAAGCGCTTGTCTAGCAAAACATTGGCCCCGATTCCTGTATTGGGATCTGGCGTGCAGTAAACGGAGTTGCGGCTAGCAGGGATGGCATAGGATCCCTGCCATCACAACTGTGGCAGAACCAGCTTCCCCAAAAAGAGCCTCTAACCTCAGCTACGTCTGGAGGCCTCTCCATACAGAACCCTGGGAAACTGGCTGCCGCAGCCGTCTGTACGTAGCGCAGACAAGCTTCAAGTCAATCCTGTGCGTTGTGCACGCAGATGCTGAAAGAATAGATCTGAAACGCTTTGAGACTGCCTTGTACCCTTGTACCCTCCCCACTCCGGCACAGTTTTATATAGAAACTCAGACCTTCAAAGGAAATGTGTTCCAATTATTGAAGCCTCTGTATTTGTTTGCATCTCAGTTTGATCCACTTCGCCTCCGAGTTGACAGTCGGGGCCTTATAAAAATTTAAGGTTTAGGGTTCCGTAAGTTATATAGGGTTTAGGATTCCTGAAGTTAGAGTTTAGGGTTCCTTGAGTTAGGGTTTAGGGTTGAAGGGTTTGGGTCACAGGGCTCCCTGGGCCAAGTACAAGACTAACCTGTGGTTTTGGGGGTTCCCTTGGCTCTTTAGCTCCTTATTTAGCTCCTTATTTAATTGGGATAATCATTATCCCTGGCTCCTTAGCTCCCATAATATCAATGGTTAGAAGAGCCTTGATAATTTCAATGGGGTTCCTCGTCTAAGCCTGCAAGAAGGGCTACCTTCGGGATTGAGCAAAGCGGCCCTAATAACTAGGGTAGTGTTTGGGGGTATACTATGGAAATAGTACAAGAAGGAGTCTCGGGGGAGCGGTAGTTCTCTAAGTTTTGGTCCTTATTGGGTCCCACAAATTAAAGCGGAGATCTTGAAAGGCGTTTAGGTTGGGGTTTTACGGTTTGGGGCTCAGGTGACTGGGTGTTGTATTTTAGGGGTTTTAGTACTTGGATAATAAGAAATTTTCAGACCCCGATTTCAGGCGCGTGCGGTGCCAGGTTTCTGTTTTAGGGCTTTAGGTCCGGGGTTCTGAGGGCGCTGGGCCTCTCATTGTTGCTGGGAAACCATAACCCAAAAGGCCATAGACCACAATCAGCATTGGAAGTATCACTGTTGTTATTGTTATTCTCATTTTTGCACGCTTTTAGAGTCATGATCTAGAAAAATATGTGCATACATACATGCGTACATACATATATATATATATATATATACATACATATCTATTCATTTATTTATTCATGTAGTTATTT